AGATATTTTTTTCCTCAGACTTTTTTAAAGATTTGTTCTCATTAGTATTTCAAGTATTCCTTCTCTTCCATTTTTTTTTTTTTTCCTCTTGGTATTCTCATTGTGCTTGTGATATTTTTTGCAGCTGTCCCACTATTCTTGGATGCTCTGAGGGGGGCATTGTTGTTGTTTGTTTTGCTTTTCCACTTCGGAGTTTTGTGCTGAGACGTCTTCAAGTTCAGAGACTGTTTTCTCAGCCACATAGGTTTCTGCTTGTGGGTTCCTCTTTCATTAAGCTGTGATTCTCTATACTCACCTGACTGCCTCTCCAGTTTTGGGGAAGCAGTTTGCCCTTATGGCCTCACCTCTCTGACAAATCAAGAAAAGTAGATTTTTCAGTTTGTCTAGATTTTTACTTATTTTTAGGGTAGAGTGATGACTTCTAAGATCTATACATTTGCTAGACCCTTATTCCACTGTTTTCTTGCTTGTATAGTTTCTGTCAAGAAGTATGCTGTAATTATGTTTCTTTCCTTGTATGTAATGATTAGCTGACTGATTTTTGTTCTGTCAAGCTATTTACTCTTATCTTTGATTTCAACTGTTTGTGATGTAGGATTTGTGGAATTGTAGAATCTATGGTTGTTTTTCACTGACTAGGAGATTCTTGGCCATTCATTATCTCATTCAGTATTTCTTACCCCTTCTTCTATCTCTACCTCCTTTTGAGACTCCATATGGTAGATTAACTAAAGGTCAACTTGTAACACCCAGCTGAACTGCATCAGCATGGTTCTGGCTATAGAAGGCCCACCTGAGGAGTGTTGACAACTGCATAAAAAGAGAACTGGAGGGGAAGATGGTGCACTGTTGATCCTCCCAGAGACACTTGTCACACTGGTGTTCCTTATCGGAACTCAGCTGTTCTCATCATAAGAGCTCGGGTCCTGACTGTCACTGAGGATGGCTGCAGTTCTTCTGGGGGGAGCTCTAGTCCTTACCTCGAGCCTCACTTCCTGGCTTTGGGCCTTCCCCGTGCAGATCCTTGATACAGACTTGCATGAGACACTGTTGTAGACTCTAGACCTCCAGCTGGACTTGTCGGGGACACTGCCATGGGGCCCAGGCCCTCAGCTAGATTCTTTGGGTCTCTAGTGTGTGGACGATTTCCCACACTCTTTTGCATTTGACTCATCGGGTGACTATTATTAAACAATCTTATAAACTGTGTGTTCTGCACTAAATCTTTTCTCTTGTACAACACTCCAATTGATACAGATTATTTGATCTTTGCTCCACAGTTCTTGTATGCACAGTACTGTTTCCCTACCATTACTTTCTTCTTCTTTGTGTCTTAATTTAGATAATCACTAGTGACCTCTCAAGCTCACTGATTATTCCTTCAGCTATATCAAATTTTATGAAGAAATTCTCTATCTCTGATGTTGCAGGTTTTCCCCTCTAATACTTCCATTTGACTCTTACCCATTCCACTGCTGGAGTTCCCCACTATAAATCCCCACTACACATGTATATTATCTTAAAGTTTGTTTCAACATGTGTCACCTCTGAATTGGGTCTTTTATTGAATAACAAACATTATGTGTCTAACAGAAGGAATGAGGTAGGTAAATAGTTTTTATACTTGGAAATGTATCTCCTGCCAGACCATTACTTTGGGGATTGTCAGTGCATATAAGTTTTGATTACAGTGTGATTGTTGCTGTCTTCATTCAGCACACTACAGGCTTCGCGTTCACTCAGATGCTAGCTGCTGTCACCTTGTGCTTAAAGTCTACCTGAGTCGCAGTACAATTCTTGACTCCCACACTCAATTTGCAGAGATACTCAAGGTTGACACCAGCAAGAAGGTACACATTTACATTCCTGCTGCCTTCTCAACAGACCAGTGTTCACTGGTACTTGTGACCACTAGGCTCGTGGGAACAGGAAGTTTTTCTCTATTGACCTTAGCTAACCTCAGCCTTGGGGAGGCTTTGTGTCTGGCTTTCAAGAGTATGACTTTCTCAATATTCGTGCTCCATTTTCCCAATAGTGGCCAAACTACCTTTAAATCCATTGTTGGTCTAGTGTGAGAATTTCATGCCCAACATGTGGGCTCCTGGGCCTCAACTGTTAGTCCTTCTGTTATGTCCGGTGGGTCTGGGGTCTAAGGGTCCCCAGACTCATCCTGGCCAGGTTTGTCTCTCTGATGTAGACAGAGGACGAGTCATAGAAGACCAGTGCAAAGTGAAGTAGTTTTATTCTAAGTTTTGCAAGAAGCAGTGAAGAGCCATGGGGGCGGGGGGCACCCAGAGCTGGGTCACTGACAAATTTGGGGTTGTGGGCCTATTTATGGGGTAGGGGGTCATGTCTCTAGCCCCTCTAAGAGTCACTACTTGGTTACTGGACTTGTTGCTAGGGTGCTAGATTTGGTGGGCTAATATGAGAATTTTGAGGGGAGAAGTAACTTAGAGGTTCATGTGGGACAGTGTAGCCACACAAAAGCGGGTCTCAAAACCACAGGCTGTCAGCTCAACTGCTTGCTGAATGCTGAGGTCCTCTCCTTTCTACTTCTTAAAGGGGCAGTTCCCTAATCTAAACCTACCTAAGAACCCAACTGTCCCTACACCTGCTCCAAGGTCAGACAATTTTTGCCTGTGTTCCTTCTCTAGTAGCAGGAATGATTCTTTGCCTGTCCTGAAGGCAGAGCATTTCCTACCCTCCTCACAGGCAGATGGTTTTGTCAATAATTTTCCCCCAGATGCAATAGATTTTTGCTTTGGGGTGTTATGGTTTGTTGCTCCTCTCCACAGCATCCTAAGGTTTTTGTATCTTTCAAAAGGAGGGCCTGGGCAGGGCATGGTGAAACATGCTTGTAATCCCAGCACTCAGGAGGCTGAGGCAGGAGGATCTTTGTAAGTTCCAGATCAGCCTGGGCTACAAAGTAAGCTCAAGGCCAGCCTGAACTGCATAGCGAGACCGTCTCAAAAAGACACACACACACACACACACACACACACACACACACACACACACACACGGAGGGCCTATGGGGAGTTGGGGAGGTTCATCCTTAACTCCAATCACCTCCTATCACTGTGCAACTGTGGTGGGGCAGAGGATGAAAGATTACTTGGAGTAAAGTTCAGTTTAAATTCCAAAAGCAAGGGACTGCTTTATGAGACTCATCAGCACAAGAAAGACTCAGGAAAACAGCACCAATCTGAGAAACTCCTGGCTTTCTATTTGTAACCCAAAGGCATGAGAACAAAGGTGCAGAGGAAAAATATCTGTGCAAATTTTGGTCAGAGAAAGGGAAAAGAACAAGATGCTTTGCTAGGCGGGCTTATCCAGGAATGAGGAACACAGTGACTGGAGCAAAGATCTCTAAAAGTACCTTTGTTTCTAACTGCCCTGCGGATCTGCTCTGATCTTGAACCGTGCCTCCTAGGAGCCCTGTGCTGTCGCTCCAGGGGTCCCTTCACCTTTGCACACACTTCAGCCACTCCTCCTAAGTCTTCCAGATAATCCAAAAAAGATACCCTAGCTCACCCATAAAGATTTGTTAAAGCTGGGCATGGTTGCACACACCATAATCCCAGCACTTTGGAAGGCTGAGGCAAGACTGCAAGTTTAAATCCAGCCAGGGCAATTCAGCGACTTGGCAAGACCTTGTCTCAAACCCCAAAATAACAAAAGGATTGGACTGTAGCTCAGTGCCAAGGTCCTCAGTTCAAGACCCCGTACAAAAAAAGAAAAAAAAAAAAAATTGTATAGTGGCCATCTGCTTAAGATGAAACAGTTTGTATGTCCTATCTCTCTTGACAGATTTAGCACTCTCTGGGATCTGATTTTTTTTTTTTACTCTGTATTCTCAATTTGATTTGCCCAAGAAAGTTGAAGTTTTGTAGATTATACAATTTTTCTCCCTTGTCAAATTGGTAGTCCCTTGAAGCTTTCTACATTTTCTTTACAACTCTGATGACTAAAGTTGATTTTCTGTTATTCTCTTAAATTAGTATTATTTCCATCATTGCCTCTATTAAAGTTGGCAACTATTTTTGTCTCTTCCACTAGATATTAATGTCATGAAAACCTACAAAGTAGTTCCTTAGTATTCCTGGGGGAGGCTGGGAATATAGTTCAGTGGCACAAGCGCCTATCTAGTATTCATGGGGGATTCGGTCCAGGACATCCACAAATACCAAAAGTCCCTCTATAAAATGGCATAGTATTAGCATATTGTGTACACACGATGTCCTATGCACTTTAAATCATCTTTAGATTATTTATAGTACCTAATACAATCTAAATGCTATGTCAATAGTTGTTAAACTGTATTGTTCAGGAAATAATGACAAGGAAAAAAGTCTAATATTCCATATAGACATAAATTTTGAAAACTTTTGATCCATTGCTGGTTGAACCCACGTATGTGTAAGCCATGGGAGGGTCAACTGTATGTATTCATTATTTCAACTCCCTAGGCAGTGGTTCATGAACTTAATTCTTTCCAAGATTTTGGCTGTAAACCTAACTGGATGAGAGCTAAATTAAATTTCCCCATAAGGTCAACATTAAACCTAATCACTGAATTTGATTCCATTCTTGTCCAGTCTGTTTTGCAACCCAAAATGTGAAATTAAGTTTATGAACCAAGGTACCACTGTACATAGCACCATACTGGACACATAATACTCAAAACTAAATGAGATGACACATATGGAAGGTATTCCTACCTTCAAAATCAGAAAACATTAACCCAAATAAGAGGAAATAATGGCTAATTAAAACAGCCACAAAAATATTAGGGAACAGAAAGAGCATAGTGACAAGGGCTCTAAGGTAAATTAGAGGATTACATTACGAACTGTCTGTTGGGTTTTCATGTACAATCTGTATGGAGAATTTATCTACAGTGTTGGCTGAATTCAAAACATAAAGAACAAATGATTAAAATATACACCAAACCATTCTTCAATTAAGCGCTAAGAAAAGTTGAAATAAATAGCCAAATATAGATCGGTAATTTTTTTAATTTTTCTCTTACAAAAAGACAACTGGAACAAATAAATATAAAATGGTACATATGTCATACTTATCAATGGCCAAATACACATTTTGTTGGTAGTCCCCACAGAATAAACTAATGGAACCTTCAGAAGCATACTCATCCAACCTACCTCCTACCATCTTTAAAAAAAAAGTCAACTCTTAATTCTCCACAATTTTTAACAATGAATTCTCAAGTACTGTAAGACTACTTAGGTTATCAAGACATCTAAATCAATAAATTTTAAAAAAATATGTATTCTCTCTCTCATAATATGACATTACCTAGAAACTCCAACTAATGAATATTCTTACAACTTTTCAGGTCTTATAATTTGCATGAGGTCTAGTCTGTTTAAATCTGCATGGTAAATAAAACAGAAAGCTGAATAGTATGCATATCCTCACACAGTCCCAAGAAAAACCATTAAATATATTTAATACACACTGAACAACAAATCCCGATTTCCTCTACCTTGGAGGTAATGCAAAAGACAGACAAATACAAAAACTATTTGTGACCAAATTTAGTTAGTAAGATATATCTTGCCTATTTGGCTCTCTCATATACCAAAGTTGGAGCAAGGATGAATATCCAAATGTATTTTTTCACTAAAATTTATCTTCAAGCTAATACCTAAAAAGCTTTGCTGTTACTTTCAATTAAATGTTCTTTTTTAATAGTTTTTCCATCATTGCAAGCCAAATAAAAGCATTTTTTTTCTTTCTGCTCTTTAAAAAATTATTTTTAAAAATCTACTTCAAGTAATCTCTTAGTTGGTACTTACATAATTTTCCACTTTATAAAGAATATCCAGAACGGCAGAAAAGAATATAAAATCTTTAAACGGTCATCTTAGAATAACTAAGATTTGAAATTTTCTTTTGTATGTTTTATGTGCTTCCCAGGCCAGTCTGAAGAACACCTACAGATGGAGGAGAGCTCTGATATCAGATAAACCATGCTCATAAGCTCCTGTGTACACAAGGGCTTGAATTTTCCAAAACACTAGGTTTTTCTGGTTCTACATCTGAACCTTTCTTTATATTTCAAAGCTAATTTGAAGTTAGAAGGTAAATTACATTCTTAAAATTTTGTGGGTATCATTAAACTATGGGATCAACTTTCTAGGCGATAAGTCAAAGCTCTCCAGAAATGTGCCTATATGTCACAAAGCCCAAAGCGAAGAGCCAGGGCATCAACATGCATGATTGGGAGTCCTATGAAAGTCACAAGGCATTGGAATTCAATGATTTAAATTAAACTCTTCCCAGTAAGAGACAGTGTTTCACGATGGATGCAGATTCTGTTTGCTGTCCATGAGACGTACACACATCACTGCTGCTACAGACCCACTTGGTGATAATTTAGAAGTACAAATTTAACTCCAGAAAATACAAAGGTGGAGTATGAATTTGAAGATACACAATATAAATAGGAGTTAAGTGGAACCTGCCTGCAACAATCTTTTATTTTTAATTCCTTAAAGGGTACAGAAAATCTGCACACAAACAAAGCAATTAATTTGCATAATAAAAAATACTCCCCTACAAATAGCCAGGGGGTCCAGTCAGATTCCATAGTGAATGTATGTTGTATCACATTCTACTCCACAGGTATGCTTTCTTGTGAATCTGCTGGGTTAGGATCGGCTTTTTCTGGAAATACTAGCTTCTCACAAACTGCCTCCTTTATTGGTAAATACTGCGATATTTCATTAGGTTCCGTGAAGAGGGAAGGTGGAACATGCTAGAAAATGAATAAATTATATTATTAGCATATACTCAGTTATTGCAGTGACACTTTTTGAAAATGTTTTGGTTTAAGCCTTTATAAAACACACCCATTTCAAAATCATGCAACATATGCAAATCAGGAGCATCATTATGTGCACCTAAAAATAAGAGGTATTTCCTATCACTGAATGTTTACAGCCAGGGAGATAGCTCAGCAGCACAGTGCCTGCCTGGCAAGCCCAAGGTCCTGAGTTTGATTCCTGGCACCAAAAAATACATAAATAAATGAATGTGTTTTAAAGATAATGAAGTTATATAATTTATAATGCTCCCATAAAGTTAAGAATTTAATGCATCTTAATTCAATCCTTGTTTCTTGTTGCTGTGGTAACTTGAAAGCATTAGTCTTTATTTAAAGAGCAGTAGTCTATGATGGAAACTGAGCAACTTTTCTGACCCAAGTACACACACTCTATGCGTAGGCAGAAATACATACTAAGGGTGAAAAAGAACACCAACTCTGTACAAAGGTAATGCTTTTTAAGCAACTCACTAGAAAATCCCAAGTAAATAGGAAGCGCTACCAAAATAAACACGTCATGATACAGAGCTATCGTATTTTGGGAAGGAAAAAAAGGAGACTGTATACAAAAAAAATTGAGCAGGGGTGTTTAGTGGGAAGAGTATCCAGTGGGTGTCACCACCATTGTAACTCTGGTTAAGTCATACCTCTGGACCAGAGCTTTTCCAGAATAAACCACGGATATCAGACCGAATGATAGCTAATACTAATAACTCAAACATGTTCTTGTATTTGAAGCAAGCTCAGAAAAGGTATGCTCCAATAGGATTTCTCCTATACAGCCATATGAACAAATGGATTTATGATGTAAATTTAGTTGAACTGAGTTAAATGATGTAAGTTTAGTTAAAATGAGCATTACAATTCAAGTTCTACAAACTGAAATTTAACTTACCGTTAAATTAGCAATTTTGCTTTCTCGTGAAGTATATTCTCGTAACATATAGTTCTTGTCAGCCTATATTTAAAAATTTAAAAGTTGTAATAAATTTACTAACATTGATTTATAAAATCTCTTCTATTAAACACACTGTCTACATTTTGGAACAGGTAGCATCAAGTCTGACAAACTATCTCATTCTACACTGAAATAACGCCTTTAAGTCTCACCAAAACTTCTGAAGTATGACTTCTAATCCTTATAAATCATACTAATGCCAGATATGAATATGTAAATAGATTAAGAAAAGGTTTTGGGGCTGGGGATTTAGCTCAACAAGCGCAAGGTCGTGAGTTCGGTTCCTGGTACCGGAGAAAAACCAAAAAAAAAAAAAAAAAAAAAAAAGAAAAGGTTTTGCTTTGAAAGAACATGAGTATAAGTAAGATATGCAAAAGATTTAATATTATGTACTTCAAATTTGAAGATAAATCATTTCCTTAAGCAATATTACCACTTACCTACATAAAGTAACAGGTTACTTTTATATTGCAAAGAAAAACTGCTTTAAAATTTTTATTCTCTCCCATTTCTACAAAACTCTTGCTAAGTTCCTTATTTAAAATCATCTCTTCTATATTCACTTTTTCTCATTTAAGGTTTTTAAAGTTAGGTTGAAGAGCAGCAATTTGCTATAATTTTGTTTTTCGTGAAACACTTCAATAAAAAAAAAAAACCAAAAAATTATACTCCTTTAAGGTGTCAATCTTTTGTATCAGTAAAATGAAATTATCGCTCATTGTGAATCAAATAATACTGAAGTATAAAGGAGAGATAAATCAGTAATCACAGCTCTTATGGATAATATCCATTCATGATTTCTAATTGTACAATTTCTTTTATATTAGAAATCTCTACATAAAATCTTATAAAGGTGGATTCATACTCACCTTTTGAAATTCAACATTTAGACATCTTTCCAAATTAAATATAATTCTCAGCCATAAATTGTAGTGGCTATAGATTTTTCTACTATATGGACACAAAGTAAACTATTTAAAGGGCATTAAGCTCATTCTTTCCTTCCCTTTTGCTACTGCAAGCAACACTGTTGTGAATGTTCATGTACATACAACTGTGAGCCTTGGCCTGATTAATATTTGTAAATTATTGTACAGAAGAATTAGGATAAATTCCCAAAACCCAGTATGACTAAGTTAAAACAGTATTTTTAGGATCCAGATTTCACTCTTTCTGGGGAAGAAAAATGCAATACTTTGCCTCCACATTTAAAAAGGAAAGAGCCAGCCATGCTGGCACGTGTATGTAATTCCAGCACTCAAGAGGCTGAGGCAGGAGAATAGCTCACAGCCTGAGATACACAGTGAGCTCAAACCCAGCCTAAACTACACAGTGAGACCCTGTCCTGAAACCACACACACAACAGTCCGGAGTGACCATTAAAGTTAAAGGAGAAAAAAATTCCAGAATGAGTAACTTGGGAAAATACCAAACCAATCCCATCCTTCTGTGTTCAAATGCCAGTTTTGCCACCAACTGTGTAACTGGGTAAACAACTTCAACTATTCTCTAGTTACTTCAGTTAAAGAACACATAATTAACAGGATGGATTTCACAAAGGTATCATAGAGGTAATCATTACTATGACTACTGGTAGTGTCATTAACTCCTCACTCCACGTGATCACAAATCTAAAGTTAAAAATTAATTCAGAATAGGCTGTTATGAAGCTACTGGAGGAATTTCTATACTCAATTTAACCCTCCCCCAACACTTCCTTAAAAAGAATAAAGCTTCATGTTGTAACAGTTACTCTGGATGGAACACAGAGCTTTCAAACTTTAGAGTAGCTGTCAAAATAACTATGTAACACACTTCAAGGCCATGTGATTGGTATTTCTAACATCAGGCACTATGTAACAATATGTTCTATAAACAAAGGTAAGAATGCAGGGACAGTTTTGTTAAACATATTAAGTATGTACAAAACAATGTTTTAAAGCATCACCTCCAATCCTCCCCACACCAACAATGCATTTTTCAGCTACCAGAACTTTTGCAAAAGATGATGTTATGTTTTGACAACAGTGTGCAGTCAACAGTGAATCTTGGGGCTGGGGATTTAGCTCAGTGGCACAGTGTCTGCCTGGCAAGCCTGCGGTCCTGAGTTCAACTCCCGGCACCAAAAAAACAAAATGAAACAGTGAATCTCAAAGTTTATAGATTGCCATATAAAACATTTAATTTCAAACTTTCAGAATGACAGTGAAACTACATAAACAGGCCCATTATCAGTTAAGATACTCATTAAATGAAAATAGGTACCTCATGGTAAACCCTTGTGTCGTTCATTCTGATAAGCACTCCATCAATTCTCAAGAAAAACCGCAACAGCAGAAAAAAGCTAGAAGGCATTACTCTCTGTGGAAAAAAAAGTATATTCATATTTTTCACAGAAATTAAACATTTTATTACATTGCTAAAAGAAAAAAAAATTTTCTTTCAGACAGGGTTTCATTATGTAGTTCAGGCTGGCCTTGAACTCATGGCAGTCCTCCTGCTTCAGCCTCCTGAGTGCTGAAATTATACGTGTCCACCACCACACCCTACTTGAGAAAAAAAAATTTTTTTGTCTTTTTGAGACAGAGTCTCGCTATGTAGTTCAGGCTGGCCTTGAGCTCACTTTGTAGCCCAGGCTGGTCTCAAACTCACAATGATCCTCCTGCCTCAGCCTCTCAAGTGTTAGGATTACAGGCTTGGGCCACCATGCCTGGCTGAGAAAAATTATTTTTTAAAAAGCTATTAGAAGAGGGCTATGTCAGCAATGCAGATGCTCTCTGACTTACAATGAGGTTACTGTTCCTATAAACCCATCACAAGTTGAAAATATCTGAGTCACAAGTGCATTTAATATACCTAACCTCTTATTATGGATTATATCTAGATGTTCCCCCCCAAAGCCTCATATGCTTTATAGGGGGGCTTTTCGGAGGTGGCTGGATCTAGGGTGTATGAATATGGATTATGGGTATGTGATAACTGCATTAGTCCAATCACTGGATCAGCATAGTTCTGGGTGTGGCTGAATGGATTTACTAAAGACAAAAGACCCAACCTTGGTATAAGTGGCACCAATCAATAGGTTTGTAACCTGGATGGAACATAAAGGAAAAGGGGGAAGGCAGGCTCGCTGCTTTCTGCCTGTCTCCCATAGACTGTTCCTCTACTATGCCCCTCTGCCATGCTACTCTCCCATGCACCAGCCAACTATGAACTGAAACCCCTACAAACTGTGAGCTGAAATAAACCTTTCCTCCTTTAACTTGAGGTGTTACATATTTTATCCCAGCAGCAAGAAAGTAACTAAGACACTTGCTGACCATCACCACAGCTTAGCAACAAAGCATACCACAGAGCGTCAGTGGTTTGCCCACATGATCCAGTCTGACCAGCCATGGCTCACTGCCCAGCATTGTGAATACCCTACCATACACTGTTAAGGCTGGGAAAAGATCGAATTCAAAGTATAGTTTCTACTGAGTGCACATCACTTTCATAACACTACAAAGCCAAAAAATCCTAATTCATTAAGTCGGGGACCATATACATATGAAAATCTCTGACCTAGAGATTCTTTGTCCTAGCTCCAACCAGTCTTGAAACCTTGCAAACTACTTAGCATAATGTAGCATCTTAGTATTTTCCCAACAGAAATTTTCCCCCAGATCAAAAGAAACTGAGATATAAAACTCTTAAAGAGTATCTAAATTATCTGAAAATTCCAATGTTCATTTTAAAAACTGGTAATACTAGTAGTAAATATCAATACCAGTAAAACTAAAATTAAACAACCTAGTTCATTATTGCTACTCACTTTTATTCACTTTACACAAAATAAAGGCAAGAGACCTTAAACAGAATGCTCTTGTTCAATGTAACAAATTATGTAGTATTTCATATGCCAAAGACTGGTATATTAGGATGTTCATAACACATTCTTAACATCTTTCATCTGTGGCATGTCAACAAATTCCTATGCTTTCCAAATGAATTACTGTAGAGAGCTTAACCATTTCTTAAATATTTGTCCACTAAGTACCAAGTCCTAACTATAACAGGGCTTTTTGCCTTATATACAAGAAAAGATAAAATCCAAATAGTTACCAACCAGGGAAACAGTCAAACAGAAAGAAGTACCTAAAGCTGCTGAAGAAAGTCAAAGATATTTGATGTTCACCATGAAAAGAATAGGATGGAAAGGAAAACTCCAGAAAGAAGAAAACATACAGAAAAAGTCAGTCAGACACATTCAGAGAACTGTCAGTTTTCCACAGAGACACAAGATTCCACTAATGAAAAAGTAACAGGGCAAGCCAGTAACATTAGTGGATTACTGTATGGAGAATCGCCAGCCACAGGCCATGCTCTTCCCTGCCTTAGGACTTTCACATCCTTGCTCCCTTACCTGGAATATTCTCCTGGCCTTTGTCTACTTGTCTTTCAGATCTCAGTATAAATGTCACTTCCCACAAAGGGGGGTCTTTTTTTTACTATACTATGCCATAGTAGATTCCTCCTATCATTCTCTCGTTCTACTCCATTACAAATGAACACAAGTGTAACCATATTCATTTATGTGTTCCTGTGCTCAGTGCCCACTTCTCTACTGGACAGTGAGAACACCTGCTTTGGACATGACACATCCCTGCTGCCTAGTAAGCAGCAGGTGCTCATTAATGATTTGCCAATGAAACAGGAGGCTGGAAGCTATCTTTGCTGGACAGAAGGTACTGAGCGAAACTCCATTCTGATGGAGCTATCAGCAACAGGTTTTTAAAAAGCAAGGTTTGCCATGAAAAAGGCTGGAGAAAAAACCTGATTGTGATAAGCTGATGAATCACAACAAATCAGGAAGTACATCATTACCTGACACTTATCACAGAGTGCTATCTAAAATTTACGAGAAAGAGAAAATCAAACATCTCTTCAAATTTGAAAGTTAGTTATTAACAGTTACACTGGGCACAACCCAGGCAAGTTAAAGAATCACTTAGCATGGCCTGGTGGGTAGACTAAGAGTTAGGACACCAGAGATTAGTGGCCATTTCACCACAACTCACTTGGATATTTGAGGGTAGCAGGTCTCCCATGGAGAAGGTTTGAAAATGTGTATGGGTATTTTTTTGTTGTCGCAATGACAAGCAACCAATACTCAGCTGCAAAGCAGTCAGGCAAGTATGGTAAAAAGATGCTCTGCTAAACTAAGCTTATATTAAGACTTAAAAGTGAATTTTACAATAGGTATCTGCTATGATTGATACCTTGTGTCAACATGGGGAGTCTAGAGGTTTGGCTAAGTGACTCAGCAGGAAGCCAAGGTGCTTACTTTGTATACATCCTGAGCCTGTGGAAGAGGAGAGCATGGAGTTTATGTGAGAGCTACACATCCCCTGGGTGGGGGTAGCCTGTTTACAATGTAAGGGAGGGCCACTCCTCCCTTTTGCTGTTGTTGTTTTTGCTGTGTTCTGCCCCCATGCATGTTTGTCCTCTGCCTGGGAGCCAGCCAAGTATGGACTGAAACCTCCACAAACTGTAAGCTAAATAAACTTTTCCTTCCTAATTTTGGGCATCAGGTATTTTATCCCAGCAATGAGAGAAAAGTAACCAAGTCAGTATCCAGTAAGATGTATTCTAGACCCAACTGAAACTGTACATAATAACATGGTGAGATTCAAGTGAGTCTTACTTTACGCACAACAGTAAGAATGGAAAAAGATGTTAATTTAAACAAAAATCACAATACTCACAATTTTCACACTCAAGCTTGAAACTCCATGATCATGAAGTTCATCCTCAAAGAGGAGAACTTCTTCAAAAAATTTAATCTGCTCTCTGGCTTTCAATTTCTCTGTATCTATATGATCTGTTGTAGGTATAACCTGAAAAAAAAATTAAAAACAGGGACACATTTTTTTAAAATTTAAGGAACTACAGTCACAAGAAAGTGGTTTTCCTTATCAGGCTTTTCTGCATAGCCAGTACAAACGGTTATCACTGTGTGGTATCTACTAACATCACAGGTCAGAATGTGCCTAGACTCTGAAAAACTGAACACACTATACAAGCCTTGCATTACAGCTTCTTAATAAAGAGTCAAAGCCAGATATGATGGCCCGTACTTACAGTCCCAGCATTTGGGAGGCTGAGACAGGAGGATCGCTGTGAGTTCAAGGCCAGGCATGAATATATAATAAGTTCAAGCTCAGCCTGAACTACATAGCAAGATCCTGTCTCAAAAAAAAGTCAAAATTCCTCATCTTTTATACAAGTCAAATTAAAATCAAGTGTTCTTCACTCACTATGACAAAATTAATCAACTAAAAATGGGCCTGATGAACAACTACCTTAGAAGGTAAAACCAGCTTGGGGCTTTTAAGGGGCTGGGGATTTAGCTCAGCGGCACAGCACCTGCCTAGCAAGCACAAGGTCGTGAGTTGAATTCCCAGTACCAGAAAAAAAAAAAGAAAAAAAAACAACTAAAGTACACTTTTAAGTATTCACTGGGAGCTTAAAAATATTTTTTCTGTTAGAATGTTACATATCTTAGACTCCCAAACTAATTCAAAACCTACAAACAGAAGAAAGTGCTTTAAGTAACGAGATAAATAGGAACTTTTACAGGAATTCTGAGGATAACGCCTGTCATGCAAAGGGCTTGGGCCATGCTGGCAATGCTTTTCAATAGGTTATTTTGTAGTCCACAGACACACACACAGTAATCCAACAAGAGCACCGATAATCCCAAGGCAGAGCAGAGTCTTTCCAATAATAGCGCCAAAGCTCGACTTGTGATACATTTCTTTTTGGTTTTTGTTGTTGTTGTTGTTTCTGGTCTTTTTGAGACAGGGTCTTGCTATACCGTTCAGGCTGGCCTTGAGCTCACTTTGTAGTCCAGGCTGGTCTCAAACTCACAACAATCCTCCTGCGTCAGCCTCCAGAGTGCTGGGATTACAGGCGTGTACCACCATGCCCGGCAAAGCTTTGGGTTTTTTTTTTTGTGACACATTTTCCATGACCTCCAATTCACCCTAAAATATTCAGCTTTTCTATTCTTTGACATGGTTTATCATAAACACAAAAACGACTGTCAAACTGTAGGTATCCAGTAAACAATGGCTACTATTTTGCTTTACTAAATAGCCACAATTAGATCATTCGATTCAGGGACAGGATTATGAGATGGAGAGTAACTGAGACAAATGGACAAGAATTAGAAGAAAATGAAAGATGTTCCAATATGAGACCTACTGACAACTTCACTTTCCTATGTTTTTATGTATTGTTTAAGTGAGATGCAATGTTATACTAGTATAGAGCTTTTGAATTTATAGAGAACTTTCCCAGGAATTATTTCTTAGCAAAGCGGCATGGTAAGGGGAGTGGAATGGGAAAAAAAGAAGAAACAAGCTATACCATGTACAGGTACAAATTCCCTATGATGAATGTTATCACTATGTATATTTAAAATGTACCAATAAAATAAAAAGAAAAAAAAACCAAAATGGCATGGTAGGTATTTCTGTTAACCCAATTTACTGACTTGGATTAAGGTTGCCTAAACTTACACCAGGATCATATATAGGGCAGGTAAGACACACACTGAAATTGTCCAATCAAAAGTTCTATTTGAAAGCTGGGCGTGGTGGCGCATGCCTGAAATCCCAGCACTCGGGAGGCTGAAGCAGGAGGATCATTGTGAGTTCGAGACCAGCCTGAGCTACAAAGTGAACTCAAGGCCAGCCTGAACTGCATAGCAAGACCCTGTCTCAAAAAAGACAAAAAAAGACAAAAAAAAAAAAAAAAAGTTCTATTTGCACATATACTTGCTCACATGTAAAATTTGAAACTACTAGCTAGCAGGTTCCATGCAAAGCATCTCATAATTACACCAAAATACGTTTCACTGGTCATGACAATGTTGACACTACAGCAGTCTGCCATTCCACCAAACATACTTGGGGGCTGGTGGTGGGAGGTGGTTTATACTGAAGATTGAACCCAGGGTGCTTGTAGGGAGCTACATCGCCAGCCCAGCCCCTTTAACATTTTCTTTCATTTTGAGACAGGATCTCACTAAGTCACTAAGTTGCCCAGCCTGGCTCGAACATGCAATACCCTGCTTCAGCCTCCCAGAATGCTACGATTACAGACAGGTATGTGCTACCACACCCTGCCCAACCACACTTTTAAAAATAATGTTCCAAGCGGGGTGTAGTGGTACATGCCTATTGTCCCAGCTACCTGTAAGGCTGAGGCAGGAAGATCCCTTGAGCTCAGGAGTAATATCTCACCTCAAAAATCAGTCAATAGCATTATGTTCTGAAGCCTGCTACAATGGAAAATAAGTGGTCAAAAAATAACCTATTACTAGAAACTTTAAGCTGAGATCATCCAAGACAATTAATGACTTATAACACAAAAAGTAAGGTTTACCTTTAATTTAAGAGAGTCTCCAAGTAATGTTCCTTTATAATCTGTTGTATAGGTCCAATCATATGGTTTAACAACCTCTTTAGAGTGCTCACCCTCCGTCCTCAAATACCAAAATAAGAAGGATCAGATTTAGTGAGGCAGAATACAGATTATCTGCATTCTAGCACATGAAATTACATTCTACAAATTATATGAAGTATTGTACTACATATATATACATACTTGTCCTAACTCACTAGCACAAGATCTTACAGTTTTTAGTGTATTTATTATTTAACTTATGTGTTGACCTAACCATTATAATAATCTTTCCAAGTAGTCTGTCCACTGCCTGAGGACATGATTTAAAGGTTTATAAATAAATACATAAATACATAAATAAATTTACAATTCTTCACATCTTCTAAGGTACCTAGTAAACAGTAGGCAGAAAGTAAAATGCTGACCTGATTATCGAAAAATGCACTTTTTCTTAATTGTAATGCTCCAAAAATATTCAATGCAAATCACAAGTAACTAGTTTTTCAATAACAACAGGAACACCAGCCAGGCGTCATGGTGCACGCCTATAATCCCAGCACTCTGGAGGTTGAGGCAGGAGGATCGTTGCAAGTTCGAGGATGGCCTGAGCTACAAAGTGAGTTCAAGACCAGCCTGAACAGCATAGCAAGACCCTGTCTCAAAAAGACAAAATAATAACAATAATAATAAAAAGAAATAAAACCAGGAGCACTAAATGTATCGCTTCTTGACTAAGAAACTAAAGCTTTGAAAAAGTAAATTGCACATGGCTCAATTTAACTTAGCATTCAAGTAGCAAAATTATTACTCTCCATTTTGTGAGAAAAATGAACTAGAATAGTCCAACTACTGTATAAAGTTTAATAATAACATGAACCCTTCACTCTTCTAAAACACAAATTAATTCTTTTTTGTTTAACACATAATTGCCTCAGTTTTCACCTGCTTTCTTGCCACTCTTCAGCACAAGCTACTTTAAGCATTCCTTGGTAGTTGTTTACACATTTTAATGCATCTGTAGCATTGAACTCGATCCCAAAGCCATAACCATGCTGGATTCTTAAAACGTTGTCTCCAAACATCATTTCCGGGAGAGATGGCATATGTAATTCATCCGCTAACCTGCATATAACCAAAAGTCAGGTGAGATTATTTTGTATCAGTGTTCACATTTTTTTCTTTTTCATTCCAATATAATTCTTACATTACTGAATGGGTTAATAATATGATTTAATAAATCTATAGTTGTAAAATCTATTAGATGCTTTTATCATCTATTCTTTCATATTTTTATGGCACTCCACTAGGTAGTATACTAGGTAAAACAAAAGCAAATACACAAATATGTAATATAATATCAGCTAGTGTAAATCATATATAGAAAACAAAGCAAGGTAATTGGATAGGGAACTTCAGGAAGATCGAGATCACTTCGGAAATTTGAGCCTCAAAACTCTGTGTGAGCTGAGAATGGCTCTGAGGGTTTAAGTGGCTAACTCGCGACTGCACAAGCAGTAAGTGGTTAACAGCCGGCATTTTCCCACTGTGCCAGGCTTCTCCATGTATACTGCAGCGTCATGTGGGCAGCACCATTACAGAAGACAGATATATGAGCTATACTAAAAATATCAAGATTATAAATTAGTAATCCATACATCTATTTTGCTGGCCTGAACACTCATTTCTTCCTGTTTGTTTTTTGGAACACTAGACAGTAAGAACTGAGATTTCCAATCTGGATTTCTGATTTGTAAAAAAAGCTGGCCCTGCACTGCCACACAGTACCAATGGGCTGCAGATGAGCAGAAGTTCTTTCCAGTTCACCAGTCCCTTTGGCACTCTAGAAGGCTAAATTTACTCTTTGCTCAAAGGTATTTTGGTTTTTGGTGCTGGGATTGAACCCCAGGCACTCAAGCATGCTAAGCACACACACACTACCACTGAGCTACACTTAAGGCCCCTGCAAAGTCTTCCAAGAAGCAGCTAGCTACTTCTGAAAAAAAGTAGCTGTATGTGTAAGTTACCAAGCTTTGTGATCTCATCACCTTGGTTACAACCTGCACTTCCAATTCCAACGTGAAAGTGTGAAAGCTTTTGGTTATAGCCAAAAGCAATTACCTATAGGCTGGCTGGAACTCTTGAATCAGCCTAATAATGATCAATTAAGTCATTCTGATTCTCTGAGAAATGTGAGTGTCAGTCAAAGCACAGGCCAAAAGACACAGCAAAAGCCATGAGGCAGAGACAAGGGAAGAGAGAAGCCGTTAAATAACAGCAAGGAAAGCTGAGGGAGCAAAGCCAAGCATGGGAAATAACAGTAAGCAGCTGAACAGACTTCTGTAGTTGATGGGGGTCACAAAAACTGCCCCAGTTTCTGAGATTATTCCTATATTTGATTATTTCTTTATGCAGTATTCTCACTACTTTAGGCAACCTAGGTCTCCATTTCTTGCAACTTGAGAACAACACAGCAGTTCCATGCAGTATATTTTCCAGTTACCTTATGTACCAAACTTATTTTAATGACTTTTGAAACTTTCAAAATGTTTTATAGACTTTTCTGTGTTGTCTTAAAGGGATATAACACTACTAACCACCATTCACCAATATTCACAAAAAGGAAACAATACACATACAGTTGAATAATGTTTTGGTTACTATACAGTTACTTGTTTTCCCAGCTTCTGCTGAACCAGTAACACAAATACTGCAAGTCAACAACTTAAATTATAAAAGTTTTTTCACTCATTTATGTCACCAGCTCTTAAACTGTTCAACAACCCTAACCATCTGATTAGGTTTCCCTGAGCCAAGTCTCACTCCACAAATGATGACTTCTTCAACTTTTTGTAAAGGACTAGCTCACAAGAAGAATCTTAAGTATCTACTGAACTAAGTCTTGCTTGGATCACTGAAACACACCAGGATTTTTCTACTTTTCTCATCTAGGTAGTTAGCAATGATAAAATTTGTTCTTTCAGGAATTGTGCAAATAAACTGCTGCATCTACATGATATGGCTGCTTTTAAATTACCCAGTTTATACCACTGGCTTGTCTGTGTCCTTAAGCAGAAAACATAAAATGTTGTTTTACCGTTTCCTGATATCAACACATGCAACAACCATGTAGGACAGTGACCCCAAATTCAACTGAGGACATGCATCTCTAGCTGCTCCGGACATAGACGCACCTTCAGCCCTTTTCATTTGGTTTTAACACATTATAGCTACAAAGCCAAACTAATATACTTCTTAAAATCACATGAGTAAAACAGAACATGAAAAATAAACATAAAGGCAAAGAGACTATAGGGAACTTTTTTCTGCCTTGTATCTTCAATACGGTTATAAGCATAAAGTGCAATGAGTTTAAATATGCTCTGAGTGAAGGTGTAAGGAATGCTTCAAAAAAAGTGCAGGATTTTAGTCTGACTGCCCTATGGCAACTAAATTTAGTATATTAGCCTTTCTTTTTTAAAGTCTTTTGAATTTCTGAACAGCTAAGTAGCTACAAATACTAGGTAAGGCAAAATAACAACATGTTAAGCATGGTGGCCCACACCTGTAGTCCCAGCACTCGGGAGGCTGGGACAGGAGGATTGCTGTGAGGTCAAGGCCAGCTTGAACTACACAGTGAGAGCTTGTCTCAAAAAAAAATAATAAAAAAAAATACCATGTTAAAGAATAGATTATCAAGTCAACAATGAGTCCATGCATGTATCGGGTCCCCAATTATACTCTTTCCAATTGCCTTAAACCTATTTCCAATTAAGACACACTGAACAGGTCTCATATGTGCATCTAAAGCAAATAACCAAAAATTGCATAACCAAACTTTTAAAATGTAGGTTTTAGCCAGGCATGGTGGTGCATGCGTATAATCCCAGCACTTGGGAGGCTGAGGAAGGAGGATCATTGCGAGTTTGAGACCCGCCTGGGCTAGAAAGTGAGTTCAAGGCCAGCCTGAACTGCAGAGCCAGACCTGTCTGAAAAAGACAAAAAAAAGAAAAAAAGTAGGTTTTAGATGGAAATATCTATCTCATTCTTAGATTATCTAAAGCTCTGTAACTTTAAAAGTCAAAGATGGTATCTATTTGAAAAAAAAAAAAAGATGGTTTTATTTTCATCATGACTGCCTTGGAGATGACTGACTGCACTGGAGTCCTGTGATTCCAGTGAACTTTTTGTTCTTACATGACAACTATATTAATAGCTATGAAGAGGCCAGGCATGGAGATGCACAGTGAGACTGTCTCAAAAAGATAAAAAAAAAAAAAAGCTATAAAGAAAAGCATGCAATTAAAGATCCTGTCATTTTACAAAAAACTATGCCAGTAAAATTCTCAGCTAGGCGTTAGGGATTTAGCTCAGCAGCACAGCGTCTGCCTGGCAAGCGCGAGGTTATGAATTCGATTCCCAATGGTTGGGGGGGATGACCGGAAAAAAAAAAAATGCATACTATTTAATCTGGGCATGGTGGTGCACGCCTGTAATCCCAGCACTCGGGAGGCTGAGGCAGGAGGATCATTGCGAGTTCGAGACCAGCCTGGGCTACAAAGTGAGCTCAAGGCCAGCTTGAACTGCAGAGCGAGACCCTGTTTCAAAAAAATAAAAAACAAAAACAAAAACAAAAATTCTCAGCTTGTGACCAGTTTCAAGGGTGGTGATGCAAAGAGGCAAATGCACCCGACACTGGCAAGGGACACCAGCACCTGCTCACAGGGCTTTCCTTTTTTTTTGGCTTTTTGAGACAGGGTCTGAATTTTCCTAATATTTTGCTTTAAATGTTGCTTTAAATATTCTATATTTAGAGTATCTTAAACACTGTCCTCAATTATATATATATATATATATATATATATATGTTGTAAGAAGACAAAATATGCAAATAGTAACTCAATCTGGGATATGTGAAGTGAAATTTTTTCCTTTTCTGAATTTTCCTAATATTTTTCAACGAGAACAAAATGCAAGTGCTCCTTAGGGTGAGGTCACCTCATGACCTTTCCTCCCCGATGACTTCTTAAATGATCTTAATTCACTTCCAAGACTCCAGATGCTGATAACTCACAAACCTAAACTCAGAGACCTCATTTTTTTTTTAAAGACAGGGTCTTGCCATGTAGTTCAGGCTGGTTTTGAACTTACTATGTAGCCCAGGCTGGCTTACAATGTGAGAAGACTCTCCTGCCTCAGCCTCTCCCATCTAGGATTACAGATGTGCACAACCATGCCTGCATTTTTTTTTCGAGTGACAAGGTAAATATATCAACCTCATCCTAAACATCTCCACTTTACAACCGACAAGACCTCAAATGTCTACAAGCTAAACTTATTTATCTATCCACCATCTGGCTGCAATCTCCCCCTTCTCCTGGGCTTTTCACCTGGTTCAATGGCAATGCTACACTGGCAACAGCCCCAGCTAGACATCTGGCCATCAGTATAGACTCTTCCTTTTTCTTTCTCCTGTCAGTGGGCAGGGCCCGAGGATATAGCTCAGGGGCACAGCGCCTGTCTGCTAAGTGCAAGGTTTCGACACCCGGTTCGATTCTTGGCCATCAAGCCAAGAGACTTAACCTTCTAAAGTCTCTCCTACCCTCTTTCCCTGACTAATTAGTCTCCTTCCCCGCCCTATGGCCCTTCAACCCATCCTCCACATCACCCATCCTCCGCGCCCCCAAAAAAACCAGAAACGTGAATAATGTAGTTTTACTGAATAAAATCACACCTGGGTGGTTGTTAAATAAATTTGGGTCTTTTTTTTTGAGACAGGGTCTCGCTCTGCAGTTCAGGCTGGCCTTGAGCTCACTTTGTAGCCCAGGCTGATCTCGAACTCGCAACGATCCTCCTGCCTCAGCCTCCCGAGTGCTGGGTGGATTACAGGGATGCCCCACTACGACCGGCTAACAAAATTTAAAACTCTTTAACCTGGCATAAAAATTCCCTCCGTATCTCGATTTTCCTGGGGCCATTCTTCATTTCTCACCTGCTCACGCCCCAATCACACGGACACACCTCTTCACACACGTCACAGTCACAGTTCGCTCTCACAGTGCCTGACCACCCTCGAACTCCACCCCACCCCACTCCAGGCACCCAACAGCAGTCGGGGCTCAGGGCGCTGGCTCAGGGCGTCACAGCCACCGCCCACCGCGCTTCATCCAGGTTGAGCGCAGCCACCCCAAATCCCGCATGCTCTAGCACCTAGATGGTCTCGGATCACCCCTGCTGCACTCGTCCTCAGCGCTTTAAACAGTTATCCACCCTGCAAGAGAATGGGCTCTCTGCCAGCACCAGGAAATCTCGGCTTTCCTTGCTGTTCCGTTGCTTAAGTACCTGCCATTGCACCTGATAGGCTAAAATCATCGTTAACCCCACAAACGGGTCACAGCCACTCAGGAATGTGGCGCAGGCGAGGGCAGGAAAAAGAGGCGTGGAAGCCACCACAACACTCGAAGCCAGGAGAGGGTCAGCCAGCACCCGGTGCACCCGGCCGCGCCTCGGGAGGCGGGGACACGGCCATCCACCCAGCTGTCAATCAAACGTCCCGACCCACGGGGACCGACCCACGGGGGCCGGAGAGGCGACAGCCCGCCCGCGCCCCGCACGGCCCCGGAGCCTCACTTCTCCACATCCGCTGACTTCATGATGTGGGTCTTGGCCGCCGTCAGCTTCCAGGGCCCGAAGGAGAAGTTCTGGTGGCTGCTCTGGAAGCCGTGAATCATCATGGCCGAGATGCGCGCGAGGGGCGCGCAAGCTGCGCGCGAGGGGCGGCGGCGGCGGCGGCGGTGGCAGAGAGCACCGGTCCCGGAGCCTCGCTGCGGCCCCGCCCCCTCTCCTTCCGAGCCGTTACCATGCCCCGCCCCGTGCCCGCAACCCGGACACTGCCCTGCTTTCCGCCGTCTTCCCCGCCCCCTCGCTTTTGCTTCCGGGGCGAGTTGCTACGCTACGTGACCCACGAGATACGTTACGACGCACCGGAAATGGGAAAAGAGAAGGCACTGGGGGCGGGGCTTCGATGGTGAGGGGTGTGGACAGGGGCAAGAGGCCCAGGTCAACCCTGGGTGACGTCATCCCGGAAGAGCTGAAGGCATGGGTCTCCGGAATTGGGAAAGCAACGCCCACATGTAAGATATGTCACCCTTGCTTGCGGACTTCCAAAACTGTGTAGTTTCCACGTGTGCTCTTGAATCGTACTAGAGAGATGTCCAGCGTTTTTCCACTAAGACCAAAAACCAGCACAGTAATTTCTAGGAGCTGAGGGTTCCAGCAGCAACACGAGTTATAAGTGGCCATCTAGCTACTATTAACTGACACAGACTACTATCAAAAGTTTCATCCTTCCCCATGACGAATGTAATTATGTATGGCAAACATGTACTAATAAAATTTAAAAATTTTAAATTGTTTTCATCCTTAAAAGCTGGGCACGGTGGCAGTCACCTTAAGCACAAAAACACGAACCCTAAAAGTATATTAATCGAGTTTCTTTTGGTTGAAAATGAGAGAAACCCTCTTCAAAATGGCTTTAGCAAAGGAGTCTTCTTTTTTTTGAAAAAAAAAAAAAAAAAGGAGACTAGGCATTTGGAGTTACCGCAGGACACGTGAGGAGAAAGTGAATTAGGCCTCAGGAAGGAAAGACCCAGGGACTGGAAACTCTGAGCTGGCTGGCCCGACAGTCTGACTCCCTCCACAGCACCTAGTCTCTCTCTCCCTCTCTCCTCTTGGGTCCGTGTGTCTGCTTTCTTCTCCTCTCTTCATAGAGTAATCTCTCTACTTTTCTTGCTGTGTAGTCCCCACAGCTTCCTAGGAGACATCTAGATAGCTACCTCTTGGCTCACATTTCAAATTCCCAGCAGAGAGTCTGATTGGGTCAGGTTGAGTCAGGTGTTCATCATGGCCCAGTCAACTGTGACTAGACTGGCTTTGCTGGTACAAGTCCACGGGTTTGGACACAATTGTTCTCCGAGAGGCATATACTCCCACCCCCAATGTTGTGGGCTTAATGCTAATTAGGGGAAGATGGAAGGGTTTTATTATGGTACAGCTACTGACATATAGACATGTGACCACACAGAAGTGGGGAACAGGCAGAATCCTTGGCCCTTACCTGCAACTCAATAAAAGCATAATTTGTATTTTCTTTTGGCACAGTCCGGAATTTAAAAGCTGTTTTTGCTATGAACTGTGACTTCAAATAGATGCCCAATAGGTAACTAAAAGCAGAGCAGGGCTGGGGATATAGCTCAGTGGTGCAAGTGTCTGCCTGGCAAGCGTGAGGAGGTCATGAGTTCGATTCCCAGTACAAAAAAAAAAAAACAGAACAAAGTTTGACCTTTGTTTTTGGCTTGGCATGGTGGCCCATGCCTGTAATCCCAGCACTCAGAGGCTGAGGCCGGAGGATCATTGTAAATTCAAGACCAGCCTGGGCTACACAGTGAGCTCAAATTCAGCCTGAACTGTAGAGCAAGACGCTGTCTCAAAAAGATTAAAAAAAACAAAATGACCTTCGTTTGCTATCCTTTGTTACTGTCAATCTTGGGTGAAAACTCTTCTCAGCTCCGCATAGAGGTATTTTGATCATTTAGGGAGTATCTCTCTAGGAGCTGGTTGGAAAGGGTTGATTAGCCCTAAATTAACAGGATCTCATTCCCCATCAAGACTGAGGATGGGGAGATAAGAGATTTACAGGGACATTTAGCTATACCCAGAAGCCTCCAGCCATTGTCATAAACCTTGATTACCTGGATTCCAGGAAAAGCAAAGCCTCACATGACTGAGGCCACCACAGACATAATCCTTTACTGGACATAGAACCATCCCCATCCATAAAGATTCCAGAACTGTGACACCAGGAGTGAGATAATGATCAACTGAGTCTCAGCCCACCAGCTCATCCTTGAAAGCTGGCCTCTGCCTTTGCAGGTGGAGCAGTCGAACCCCTGTATGAGAATGTGCCCCCTCCAATGACCTAAGCTGAAGTCCTTTCCTATCTTCCCTCCAACTTTCCAATTAAAGATCTATTTCCCTTCTATGTATTCGTGTTTTAGTTTTAATTTCCATTATCACTAAAAGCAAAGACCCAAGCTTGCCAGGGACACAAGCAAGTAGTAGAATGGGTTATGAGAAAACAGACATTGAAAGAGAATTTATGAAACTTAAGGCCGAGATACGGAGGGAATTTTTATGCCAGGTTAAAGAGTTTTAAATTTTGTTAGCCGGTCGTAGTGGGGTATGCCTGTAATCCACCCAGCACTCGGGAGGCTGAGGCAGGCAGATCGTTGCGAGTTCGAGACCAGCCTGGGCTACAAAATGAGCTCAAGGCCAGCCTGAACTACATAGTGAGACCCTATCTCTAAAAGACAAAAAAAAAAAAAAAACAAAAAACAAAGAAACTTAACATCAACCTACTCTACAGTTTCTGGTGGCCAGAAGCAAACCATGCTGTCTAAGCAGCATGCTGGCAAGATTTGAGGGTCATGACAGGATGGGGAAGGCAAGTATTAGGGCATCCGTAGGTGCAGTGTGCTATAGTCCAAAGTCAAAATCAAAACCACTATGTGGTAGCTCATCAAATATGCAAAGCAGGGGACTACCAACTTTTAAATCAGCCTGTATGTCTTTTATATCTACAGTCATAACCGAACACACACCCATTTGGATTAAGGGAAATTGTCTTAGAAGAATTCACACTTCCTCCTTCAACTTTGAAACCATTTCTCTGGCTTTATGAGGACAAATGTGAATTTTCACCTACCTGAAAAGCTGGTGAGTTCCAGCAGGCAGGAGCTACCCTTGGCCATCATTACAGTGGTCCCAGCTCGTTCTGTGGTAGGCTCTCTCAGCACTGGGTGATTTACAATAAAAATCACTTCTGGAATCAATAGTATTCTTGGTGTTAATTTTTGGGGCATTAATAACATTCTTTGTCGTTAAAGTTGTGATAATATGAACACTGTGACACTTTGTTGTATATTTATAATACATACATACATTGTGAGGCTGTATTTAAGCATATATCATGGAACAGTAGGAAATGAACTGCTGGAACAGAGGTAGATAGCCCTATTTTAGACTAATTCTCAAAGGGAATCTACATCATTATTGCCAGAATTAATGCTACCTAATGAAATAATCGTGTCCACTTTATGGAGGGTTGGTGGTGCTTTAGTATAAATGGGAATTTCACTTGGAGACTTAGGAAAATACAAACACATGAAGGACCTTGATTCAGTTGCCACTTGAGGGTTGTAAGCAAATCTCTGGACAATTCCACGTAAGACATATTTTACTTCTTTAAATACCTTTTACAGCAATAATCTCTAGGAAAAGATATATTCTTTAATATGTACTCTAAATCAGGACACGAAAATACCAAGCTATAAAACTTCAGGAGATGACCAAAATGTAACCAACAGAACTTTTATATGCTAATTTCTAACGATAAAAATGAATCAGATGCACCAGGAATTAATAAAAGAGCCACTAGGTAAACATGAATTAAAACAAAGCCAAACAGAACAATAAGAGGAATTTATGCTGTTTTTGTCCAGAGATTCTTATGGTCAAAATGGTTTACTTTCTTTTCCCTACATATTTTGGGGAAGAAAATAGGATAAAAGAAACTGGGGCAATTTACATGCAGGGAGCTTGAGTAGGCAAACATAGCCTTTCTGGGAAACAGTAAGTTTAAGTTCAAAGTCCAGAGCCAAGAGTGAACTGGTAAAGGTAAGTGGCAGGAAGCCAGGGGCTGAGATCTAAGTAGATTCTCAGTGGGGCTCAGGCCACTTTCCTGGGGCACAGTAGCAGAAGGCCTTCAATTTGACGGGGGGAGGTGTGGGTCTGAAAGCAGAGCCCTAATACCGAAGCATAAGTTCTGTGACTAATGATAAAAATAAAAGATCCTAAGGGGTGACTGTTGTCATGGGATGGGATCAATCAGATTGATCAAGCTGAGCAGAGAGGAAAGGAGGATTAGTTTTGGCAGGTGAACTCTTCCACATTCACCTAGAGATGGTAAAAGGCTAAACATACTCTTGGGGAGAAACGTCAGTGGATAAGGCTAGGAATCTTGGCTCAGTGTTTTGGTTTAGATCTAAATGTCTCCCCAAGAGCCCCAGACACTCATAGGCAGGGCTTTAGGAAGACGACTGGGCCACTGGGGTGCTGTAGCTAACTTGCTGTTAAGGGCTCTGGTAGGTAGGAAGAGGTGGGTTGTTGGGGGCATGGCCCAGAAGGGTGGCTCTCCTGTCCTAGTTCCTCCCTTCTCTCTGTGGTTGCAGACCACCAAGTGAGTATTGTGTCTGACAAGGTGACTGGGACATTTCCCCACTTTTAGCTGTGATGTGACCTCTGCCAAGCCTCACTTTTTCATTTTTCTCATTATTATTCCTAATAACAGGGTACCTCATGGTATTATTGACAAGATTAAAAAATACACACACACACACACACACACACACACACACACAAAGTACCCAGCCCAATGACTCAAAAAGTAATCAACAGACCTTCCATTTATATTTGTGGAGTAGCAGCAGTAACCCAGTGCAAGTTTGTGTACTGAAGGATAACGCTTCGAGTGTTACCGTGTTATCAA